ATGAGTAATCAACATAGCCACCCTGTAAAAAGAAAGCCCAGTCATAGCAACGAAAAAAAAAAGGAGTTTAGTGTGATTTTAACTCATGATTTTCTAATAAACAAATACCTGAATTGTTTTTATATGCCCGGAGTTCAGCTTTAATAAAGCAGAGTATATTTCCTTGAATAGAGCAGAATAGGCTTGAAATAGCTGTATGTTTACCCTGTATTTCCACTTGTGCAGTGAAATGAGAAAACCCCATTATATGTTTGTGTTTCTATTCACACAACTTCCTAAAAATATTTCTTACATTTTTTATGTTTCTGAGAAGGTGTAAGGACTGACTGCAGGAATATTTCTCAACTAGCTCAGCGTGATCTGTCCTACTAGTTTGGGCTGGGGACTGACTAAATCCAGTTATCATTAAAGTACTGTTAATCACTAAAATGAAAAAATCAACAAAGCATATAGCTCTATAGTGCATACTAGCTTCAATCCAAAGCACTTAGTGTGGTTCTTACATGATCTGTTTTCTCTCTGCTTGAGTCACGTCTGACAGGTTATACTGACACCACAGAACCACAAAGAAGACCTGCCCCCCTTCAGCACACAGCCTTAGCTGCGCATGGCTCCCTATGAGACTGTGTAGAAGGAGGTGTGTCCTTTCTCTCCATTCAAGTTCCAAATTACACTCAGCTCTACTCTATGGCCTGTGCGGTGTTTGACATAAGAATCTCACTACTTGACTGCAAGAGCTCAGAAATGTGTAAAAAATGTGTGGTTTACAGGCTGTAGAGAAGAGAGGGCTACAGGTACAACATATGCAGGAGGAGTGGTTTAATCGCTAGGTAGCACCTGAGACCAGTCAGTTCACTGGGTATATGTGTTTACAACCACTTTAACGTACAGTACAGTGGGGAAGTCCAGCTCCTAAACCCTTATAGTAGACGTTTGGGGCACATTAAAGAACAAACCCCTTCATATTCACCTGTATGCTGCAGCATCACTGACAGGAATGCTGATGATAATTCATTTTATTCATTTACGTAAAGCCTTTATCCCAAACAAAAGAAAAACTAAAAAGTTTGCTGTAACTACTTATATGAGGCGCGTTAAAGTCAAACCAGGCCTTTTGAGTTTATATAGTAAAAGAACACATTTCAAGGAGTGACAACTGCATTTATTGTTTGACATACTCCCCTGCAACATGTATGCACTCATCCCAGTGTTTAACACCTGGAAAGCTTCAGCATAGAAAGATTTGTCAGTACACCTGAACCATCCTAGGACAGTCTGCTTCACTTCGCCATGATTGTGTTCACCGTTCCCACAGAAAGATTAATCTCTTGTGCAATTTCACAACAGGTTATACATTGATTATCCAGGATCAAGCGTTGCACGCACTGAATGTTCACAGGAATGACTGCTGTGAGCTGGGAATCCCCATAGCCAGGATCCTCACTGACAGATATACGGCTGTCTTTGAAATGTTTACACCACTCAAATGTCTTTTTTGTAGCTGAGTGTCTCATCACTGTACTGTACTTGTCTGCTGTAGATATTCATGGGTTTTATGCTTTCATTCACAATTAACTTCATCACCACACACTGTTCCATGCACACACTAACATTGCCATTTTGATTAACATTCTCTGGCCTGGCTCACGCCACCTATCAATAATAGGACACACTTGCCACTTACTACGTGTAGTACCACCACACTAGCGTCCCTATTTATACCCGTCAAATTCAAGGTCCCGGTTTGACTTGTATATCTAGCTGCTAGCTGGAATTTAGCTTTACTTTGTTAATCAAGTGCATCTAAATCTGCTGGCCAATGGCTGCAGCATTGATCTGTGTATTGTGACGAGGGGGGGGGGGGCTGCAGTCCCTGCTGTCAGAATACAAAGGCGCAGTGTTGAGATCCCTGCATCCACATTGCTTGTGTGGATGCAGGGATCTGTCGGTTTTTTTTTCTTTTTCTTCCATAGAAAGATCGAATTCAGCTGGTTCAGCAGGGACCAGCTGAGATTCAATCTGTCTATGGGGAGGCTGGTTGTACTGAAGTCAGTCCATTGGTTCAATACAACCAGCATGTTGGATCTTTTTTTGCACGTGATCACTGCCAGCAATAATCAGCCAGACAGATGATCAAAAAAAACAGATTCCCCCATCCATACATTTGAGGTAGATGAAGGAATCCTCCACACTGTACTATTGTATTCTGACAGCAGTACTTCTCTGCTGATCAGCATTTCAGCTGATTGGCTGCATGCACTGATTGAATACAAATTTTCCAACAGTCCTGTTAGGAGAGACAATCAGCTCCTCACATACAGGAATGCCCATAGATGGATCAAAATTCAGCCTGTCTCTGCTGAATCGGATAAATTTCAATCCATCTATAGCCATTTTAAGAACTACATCAACACAATCAGTAAATCCAGATGTAGGCAGCTGCAGTTACATGGAAATCCTGATGTTTCCAGAAAAGTTAAAAAGATAAATTCACCTTTAAAAAATAAAAGCACATTTTTTTGTAGGTAAAAAAAAAAATGTGCATTTACAACTTTTTAGTTTTCTTAGCTATCAGCTGATGTCACAAAGCCACTCCAGGCTCTGAAAAAATCCCAACCATATTGTCAGGATCCACCCAGCTGCCCGATTAACAGTTCACACCACCTCTCAGCATGCATTTGAGAGCCGAAGTCAGCTGCATCTGCCCCCTCTCCTGCCTGGCACTCCAGTGGGCACTGGAGGGGTAAAGAGGAGAGTGGTGCCTGAAAGTTGCTGTTCTGCACTCTAAGCAGACTGAGGACTAAGCAATCAGTAGTCATGTGATAGCTCAGTTCTCAGGCTTGGAGCCATAGTGGGACAGGTGCAGAATCACGCTAATGAGAGGAGGGGAGTATGAAGGTTTGTTTTTTTTATGTACTACATACTGTTCCTTTAACAAAACATTCTCACCCACATATAGCTGAATCTGCAGCCTAGTAACCAAATGCGTTAACAATCTTGCCCTGTAGCACCCTCTGCATACATTCTGTATTCTCTCTGGATGTTGTGGTTTCCCTATATGATCAGAAGTAAAGTATTTGGGTGTGATTGAATTGACTTGAGTGCAGTATATGGATTCTTACAGGACTACTGAAGAGACATTAGACCAGGGGTGCTCAACCTGTGGCCCTCGGTGCCCACTGAAGTGGCCCTCAGCCTAGGGAAGCGCATGCCTTGGGTCAACAACTCGTTGATCCTGATCTGGGGTTGCCGACACACCATCCCAGAGCATCAGAGAGCATTGAGCTGGTGCCACCAATGGAGGAAGCGGCAGCTGTGGAGAAAGCATAAGGCAATGCTTCCTCTGTACGACTGGCTCCTGTCCCAGGCATAGCGATACCAAGTGCAAGAAAGTCACAGGTACACTGCGGTGTTGGTAATCCACAGTACAGCAGTGTGAAAGCAGCCTTATAGGGGGCTTAGCACCGAAAGGGCTCATTTACATTTGCAGTTTGGGGGGCAGTAAAACTCCAAAGTTGAGATGTGTTTTTACCACCAGTGTAGTGCTAGGGGACACAATGGCAACCCTACCCCATGCTAAAGAGGGCCCATGAGGTCTCCCTCTCACATTCTGTTTTACACTTGGACAGGATGGGCGGTGGGGTGCCATATACAGGAACCAATCCTCTCCTTTTACCTCCTGCAACAGCTGAAATAAGGCTTCTTCTCCTCCTCTCCTTCTTGCTGGCATTCAGCGGCTGCAGACAGGGGAGTATCTGCTGTGAGGCAAACAAGGCGTTTGCCTAGGGTGGCATTTTTCAGGGGGGCGGCGTCACCCCCAGGCAGCAGGGACAAGGGACCAGCGCTTGGCAGGGTGGGAGAGCTCAGCAGGGCTCGGGCAGGAGACAGAGTTTAGGCAGGGGAGGTGGGCTCGGCCCAGGCGCGGAAGGCGGACTCGGCAATCTCTCCCGCAGCCTCTGATCATCTCCTGCACCAGGTCCACAGTCTCTGACCATCTGCTGCTCTAGGTCCACAGTCTCTGACCAACTCCTGAGGCAGAGCCTAAAGATGAAGGGATGGAGTTTACAGATTGAGGGTGGATCTTAAAAGGAAGGGGTGGGACAAATTTAGACATGGGGGCACCTAATTATAGTCTTGCCTAGGGCAGCACAAAACCAAACTACACCATTGGCTGCAGAAGGAAAATATTCATTATGCTATTCAAATTTAATACAATTTGAAATTCTGAACCATTTAATTTCATTTTGGATCACAACCAGTTACCAAATCACTTATGCGGCCCTCGCTCAAAAGGTTGAGCACCCCTGCCTTGGACTGTAAATTCCTCTGAGGAAGATATGCATATGTACTGTGTAGTAGTGCAAAAAATGTTGGCATTATGTTAATACAAGAACAGAATATAATCATACAGTGTGTCTGAGATAATAAAAGATGTCAAAGGATAGTTGTAGCAAAAGCTACACTAATTACACTGGAAGAGAAACAAACCAAAGCAATAGTTTATTTGGTCAATGTGTTCATTATTCAGCATTTTTGTGGTTACTGTTTAACAAAAGAGTTTCAGTGTTTGCAGAGATTTATGTGGCAACAATTACAATTGCTTCACAGGGAGATAACATGCATTAGCCAAAAGTCAATTCACAGACCAAAGGACAAAGCTTTACTATTTGCAGCGCTAGTAGAATGTGAAGAAACTTTGTGCTGTCCTATCTATGCCAGAATTCACCATCTTGGAACCTTATATGCACCTCTATATATGTCTCATATTGATAGAAAAATAAGATATACTAATCCTAATATATTTTGATGTTTTCTACTTTGGAGTCATGGTAAATACGATAATAGTGCCAATATGCATATTGTTTTTTGCAGTTAAAACAAATGTAAAAATGTGGCATTGGTACAGAAAACAGGAAATTCAGAAACTGGGTTAATACAAATTTCGTAATGCAATATTTCACAATACTTCTTGTAAAGACTTGAGAAGTGTTTCATCCCACTTAAAACACAGACTCGACATTTCCCATCTCTACGCAGACAGTCTTGAGCTGTGAATAGTACTCTATAGCCACCTGGCCATTTTCACGTCCAAAGCCTGTGAACACAGAGCTCCATATAATGTAACTGTTTACAAGCATTTGACATTAAATAGAAAACATTACTACCATGTTCTGTTCTATTTGTGTATTGAGAAAGTCTTTACAATTATGTTAATGCAAATATATACACTCACTGGCCATTTCATTAGGTACAACTTGCTAGTGCTAAAAAATATCCCCAGCACTACTGCACCGCCACCAACAGCTTGAACCATTGCTACAAGGCAGGATGGATGCACACTTTCAGGTTGTTTACGCCAAATTCTGGACCCTACCCTCTGAACATCACAGCAACCAGTCTGCCCATTCTCCTCTGACATCAACAAGGCATTTTCGTCCACACAACTACCACTCACTGGATATTTTCTCTTTTTTGGACCATCCTCTGTAAACCCTAGAGAAGGTTGTGCATGAAAATCCCAGTAGATCAGCAAGTTTTTTTTAAATACTTAGAGCAGGGCGTCCGGCACCAACAACCATGCCACGTTCAAAATCACTTACATCCCCTTTCTTCCCCATTCTGATACTTGGTTTGAACTTCAGCAAGTCGTCTTCATTACATCTACATGCCTAAATGCATTGAGTTTCTGCCATGTAATTGGCTGATTAGCAATTTGTGTTACCAAGCAATTGAACAGGAGTACCTAATAAAGTAGCCAGTGAATGTATGTATGTATGTATGTATGTATGTATGTATGTATGTATGTATATATATATATATATATATATATGTATATATGTATGTATGTATGTATGTATGCATGCATGCATGTATATATAGGGTTGATTTACTAAAGGCAAATAAGTATAGGAAGCTTTCTTTAACTTGATGAATGAGGTGAAAATTCACTTTGCAAAGAATACCCAATCACATGCAAGGAAAATAAAAAACAGAATGTTTGCTTGCACATAGAAGATGGAAGTCAGCAGAGATTCACCTCTGGGATGGAGTACAGCAAACCCACTGGGTCACTTGCTGTGCAGCTCCTTCATTCAGAAAATATCTAGCATTCTTTTAAAGGGATGATTATATGCTCCTTGTCCCACAGAAAATTAAGTTAGCAACCTATTTGCCTGTAGTAATTCAATCCTTATATTTTATGATCAAAACAGGAAAATAGGCTTTTAATAGTTGTCCAAAATGGCAGATGACACATCTCAGACCCCATTGTCCGTATTAAGACTGTCTAAATATGTGGTGCATGGCAACACTGCTCACAATGTAAAGTTCAAATATGAGTCCAACAACCAGCACTCACAGAAGGCTAACTTGGCTGTTCCTTCATGTAGCTACCAGAAATTGCTGGGATTGGGAGTAGTAAATTCAAATGACATTTGCAAGCTGGGCTGCTTAAGGCTACATTCACACAGGCATTTTGTCACAGTAAGAATGGCAGTGGCAGGAATCTGCTGATTCCTGCTTCTGGTTTTGACACCTGTGAGAGGCTATCTGCGTTCGCCAGCAAACTGTCATTAAAATGTATGGGCTCCTCGGTGTCAAAAACAGCAACAGGAATCAACCGATTTCTGCCGCTGCCATGTGCACAGAGCAAACACCTGTGTGAAGGTAGCCTAGTCTAGTACTTTGTTACCACTGATGTGAACTCAGTGCTTCAAGCAAAGCAAGCAAAAACTGAAGGATATGATATTTTTTATAGGTCAGCTACTGAGGTGATGACACCTACATGTAAAAAGCAAATATATTTATAAGAATTCTTTTTAAAGTGGTTCTAAAGCCTAAAGGTTTTACCATAATGCATTCTCTGCATTAAGGTAAAAAAAAGTTAGTTTTACACTCCTTATACACTTTATCCTCCTTATACACTCACTGTGAGGACAGTTATTAGGCAAGTTGTATTTTTGAGGATTAATTTAGTTATTGAACAGCTACAGAGCTATCGGTCAATCCAAAATGTTAATAAACCTCAAACCTGAATATTTAAGAAAGTAAAAGTGAGGTTTTGGCTTTCTTAGGGGAATATCTATTTGTGGACAATTATTGGGCAACTGTTAGTGTGCAGAATTGTTATGCAACTAAATGAAAAAATTAACATTTTTCCATCTCACTTGTTTATTTTCATCTGTGAATGTGACAATAATAAACAAACTCCTCAAAATTTACAAATAAACATTTCTAAAAAAAAAAAAATCAGTGACCAATATAGCCACACTTCTTTTCAATAACAGTCATAAACCTTCCATTCATGGAGTCTGTCAGTTTCTTGATCTGTTGATGCTCACCTTTTTGGGCAGCAGCAACCACAGCCTCCCAGACACTGTTCAGAGAGGTGTACTATTTTCCTTCATTGTGAATCTCCAGTTTAAGAAGGGCCCACAAGTTCACAATGGGGTTTAGGTCAGATAGAAGGGGGCCATGTCATTATTCTTTCATCTTCAAGGCCTTTACTGGCTAGCCATGCAGTGGAATACTTAGATGCATGTGATGGAGCATTGCCCTGCATCAATATCATAGTCTTCTTGAAAGATCCAGACTTTTTCCTGTACCACTGCTTGAAGAAAGGGTCTTCTAAAAACTGGCAGTAGGTTTGGGAGTTGATATTGAGTCCATCTTCAACCCGAAAAGGTCCAACTAGCTCATCTTTAATAATACCAGCCCATATCAGCACCTACACCTTGCTGGTGTCTTGAGTCGAAGTGGAGGTCTGTGCACTTTACTGATCCAGACACAGGCCCATCCATCTGGTGTGTCAAGAGTTACTCTCATCTCATCAATCCATAAAACCTTTGAAAAATCTGTCTTCAGATATTTCTTGGCCCAGTCTTGGCATTTCAACTTGTGTGTCTTGTTCAGTGGTGGCCGGGATTCAGCCTTCCTTACCTTGGACATGTCTCTGAGCACTGAACACCTTAAACTTCTGGGCACTCCAGGTAGGTTGCAGTTCTGGAATATGACAGCACTGAAGGATAATGGTTCCTGGTAGCTTTAAGTTTGATTCTTCTCAAATCTTTGTCAGTTAATTTGCGTCTTTTTTTTCTCAACAGTTCTTGCGACCCTGTTGACTATTTGCAACAAAATGTTTGATGGTTCTGTGATCATGCCCCAATATTTCAAGAGTGCTGCATCCCTCTGAAAGACTTTTTACAATTTTTGACTTTTCAGAGTCAGTTAAATCTCTTTTTTGGCTCATTTTGCCTGAGGAAAAAAAGCTGCCTAATAATTATGCACACCTTGATATAGGATGTTGATCTTCTTAGGCCACACCTTCTCTCATTACACAAATACACATCACCTGATATGTTTAAATCCAACAAGCATTCAAGTTTATACAGCTTGGACTCACTTGCCTAATAATTGTGCCCGCAGTGTAGTTACCCAAGCAGGATCTCCATACGGTGATGTGCATGAGAGCAGTGTCTCTTTCCCTCCTCATTTGCTTAGATACATAAATGGGAGTCATTTGCTCCTGCTGCTGTCAATCACAGCCAGTGAGGTGGGAGAATGTCTCATGAACAATGTGTGTCCATGAGATATTATTGTAAAAAAGACATTAGAGCTGGCTTGGAAATGGGCACTCACAAGTACCCCCATAGCAAGCGGCTTGCTATGGGGGTACTTGGGAGGGGGGAGGGAACCAGGAGCGCCAGCAGGTGACTTGAGTAGAGGAAGATCTGGGGTGCTTTGTGCAAAACCCGTCCACAGAGCAGGTATAACATGTTTGTTATTTTAAAAAAAAAAAAAAAAAAAAAAAAAAAAAAAAAAGTTTACAATCACTTTCAAATTCTCCACCTGTAGAGCCATAGCTAACACTTACCAGACATCTTGTAGCCTCCAAAGGGCAGTTCCACTGGGCTCACATTATAGTTGTTGATGAAGCACATTCCAGCTTGTAAAGCAGCGACTACTCTGTGAGCACGCTGTAGATCTCTGTAAAGAGGAAGGAAAGCATGTAAGGAAGCAAGAGAGACTAATAACAGTCAGCGTAAAGAGTAGTCATTTCCTACAGCTCTCCCTTCGTATTCAACAATATTGTCTGACACATTAACCACTTGAGCTCCTGAGGATTTACCCCCCTTAATGACCAGGCCTCTTTTTGCTACTCGGCGCTGCACTAATTCAACTGATAATTGCGCGGTCATGCAATGCTGCACCCAAACAAAATTTACGTCCTTTTTTTTCACACAAATAGAGCTTTCTTTCGGTGTAATTTGATCACCTGTGCGCTTTTTATTTTTCACGCTATAAACAAAAAAAAGGCCAAAAATTTTGAAGAAAAACAATATTTTTTACTTTCAGCTATAAAAAATATATAGTAAAAACTCAAAGTTGGTTATAAATTTAGGCCAAAATGTATTCTGCTACATGTTTTTGGTAAAAGAAAATCCCAATAAGTGTATATTGATTGCTTTGTGTGGAAGTTATAGCGTCTACAAACTATGGTATAAATACTGCAATTTACGCCATTTTTCTGCTATACAGCGCTGCGCTAGTTTAACAGACAATTGCGCGGTCATGCAATACGGTACATAAATGAAATTTACATCCTTTTTTTCCCCACAAATTGAGCTTTCTTTTGGTGGTATTTGATCGCCTGTGCGGTTTTTATTTTTTGCGCTATAAAAAAAAAGGCTGACAATTTTGAGGAAAAAAAAAACAATATTTTGGACTTTTTACTATAAAACATGTCCAGTAAAAAAAAAAATGCAAAAATCAAATTTAGTCATAAATTTCTGCCAAAATGCATTCTGCGACATGTCTTTGCTAAAAAAAATCCCAATACGTGTAAATTAATTGGTTTACGTGAAAGTTATAGCGTTTACAAATGGCGGGAAAGATACTGGAATTTTTATTTATACTAATAATGGCGCCGATCAGCGACTTTTGGTGGCAATCAGCAACATATGGTGGCGACCAGCGACTTATGGCAGGACTGCGGCGGACATTTTGACACTGGGGGGGGGAACTGACTTGGGGTCACGGACATCCCCAGTGACACCAATACAGTGATCAGTGAAAAAAAAAACCACTGAAACTGTACTAATGTCACTGGGGAGGAAGGGGATAACATTTTTAGAATTTGCTGTGTAAGGGGAGCGTTTTACTAGGGGGCGGGGGTGTGTACTGGACGGGGGGAGGGAGGGGGGAGCTGATCGAGGGAGAGAAACTCTGCAGCTTCTCACAAGCTGTCAGAGAACTGACACAGAACAGGGCTGTGTGTAAACAATGCAGCCCTGCTCTGTGTCAGCGATCACCGTCAATCGCGGGAAAACGGCCGGTAAAAACCGTCCGTGACCCGTCGGCTGACACCCGCTGCTGACGCCCGCGGGACAGGTAGGGGGGGCGCGCGCCCCCTACCTGTTTTAAAGGCAGCCGTTTTAAAACGGGCTTTTGCCTACGAGTGCCGCCCTGCCGCCGTTTATATGCGGTGGCTGGGCGGCAAGTGGTTAACATACCATGAGGAAATACATGGGATAAAAAAAAAACAAAAAAAACCCCCAACCTGCAGAGAAAACCTCAAGCAAAGAAACATATCCTGCCATTACATTATTGTTTCACAGGTTACAATTCTGATTTAAGACATACATCGCACACTAGGCAGATATCCCCTTCCTAACAGAGTGAAACTGACAGAATGGGGTTGATTTACTAAAACGGGAGAGTGCAAAATCTGGTGCAGCTCTACATAGACACCAATCTGCTTTCAGTTTTAGTAAATTAATCCCAATGTACTTTTTTCAAGATTGTGTGTGTTTCTTTGACTTCTCGATGCATTGACAACAAACAATAAGTGAACGGAAATCCCCCCCCCCGGGCTATGCACAACTAATCGTCTAGAGTTTGGATGTATGTGTCCGTATTGACCATCAAGGTTTGGCCTCAGCCTGGGTCAGCATATGAGAGGCTTTTTTTTTTTTTTTTTTAACATAATACGAGTAGTCAAGTATTTGTTATATTTATATATTCCCAAAACTTGTGGAAAAAATACATTAATGCTTATTTTCTGGTTTATTACATCAGATTGTTAAAACTCTTATACTGACCATATACTCAACACTTTCAAACTATTTCAACTATCTTCTAATTGCAAACATAAACAAATAGAATAGATCAATGCAACCTGCCACCAAAATGTCTAAACACAATCATGAAACACTTGAAACCCTTGGTAGTAGGTTACTTTGGTTTATGTTGAGATGCTTGAAAGTTCTGCCTGCTCTGCTCTCTAACAGAGAGGCTCCAAAAAAGACCACTAAAAAAATTAAAAGGTTACAAAAATCATAACTGTACAAACTTTGTCAAGATATGTAGTGCCAAAAATAGGGCTCCAAATGCTGAGTGCATAAGCCACCATGAAGGTTCTACTTGCTTTGCCAGCTATTATAGAGCAGGAACCCATACAGAAAATAAAAGGAGTAACACTCACGCATGCAATTAACTCTGTGGCTAAGATGTATAGTTGTTTACTGCAACGATCACTAAGTTGATTGTATTTATAAAATGTAATCAATGAAGGGTAACAAGATTTAAAAAATATATATTTTTTTTAATATGGTTGTCTTGACCCCTCAAAAATGCTGGATTTACCACTTTTTTGTGCTTTGTATTGGACTTCAGCAATAGGCTTCCTCTAGATCCCACCATATTGGTGGTGAAACAATTTCCATGATCTACTTTGTAGGCCTCTGGCAAGTTAATATGTGTATATACCACAAATATGGTGTGCTATTCAAATAATGCCAATAACCTGTGATAATCCGTATACATTCAACCTTATGACTTACATGAAAAAATGTATGTATAACAAAAAAATTTTGTAAAAGGAAACATAAATGAATAGATATTCTATAAAAATTGTAATAAACCTCTAAGCCACAGTCCAAACAGTAAAGTGTTTGACAGGTGAATAGACAAATGTTGTGATGAATATCAATTCATCAACCAGTATACAGTGGATTTAAAAAGTCTACACACCCCTGTTCAATGTCAGGTTTCTGTGATGTAAAAAAATGAGACAAAATACCGTATATCATTTCAGAACTTTTCCCACCTTTAACCTCCCTAGCGGTATGATTATTTCCGATTTTTGGTGCTGAAAGCGGTACCATTTTTTTGCATGGAAATATGTAGTTTTTTTATTGTAGCCTGTAATTTTTAGGAATAACTCACTGAAATCTGTTCGAACAAGAGTCTAGTAAACATCCCGGGTATGATAAAATTTGAAACACAAAATCATAAATTATAATTTAATAAATAATCATAAAAAATAATAATATAATAATAATACATTTAATTCAATAATATAATCAAACCAAAAACACTGAAATTTGAAATATAGCGCCAAGTTCGCACATCGCTGAGCAAAGTCGCAAAATTGTTTTCAGTGTCTGATGACGAATTTCCCCACGAATCATTATCACTCAATTCTGCAAATGATTCTAATTTACGATCGTTGTTCTCTAGCTGGTCTAAAACCACTTTTGACCTAAAGGGATGCTTTTTGGACACCATGGACTTTTCTCAGTTTCCAGGCAGAAAGAACAGACAAAATGCAGGCAGGGCACAGGACAAAGCACTAGGGACAAGATGTATGTGAAATGGGTTGAAACAGCAATGTTTTACTATGTAAAATTTATTTGGAAAAAAATGAAATTTTTTTAAATTTTCAAATTTCCCACCGCCGGCGGCGCCCGTACGTCCCGACGTCACAGGGACCGGAACACAGAAGCCAGATGCCAGCATCGGCCAGAGAAGATGGCCGGGGATGCTGCAGGGGACACATCGCGGGAGCAAAGGACAAGGTAAGCTCTGCAGGGACACCCTATGCAGCGCCGCATGGTAAGCCCGAGTGTAGCTCGGGGTTACCGCTTTTGGTACTGACATTTTACCCCGAGCTACACTCAGGAATACCACTAGGGAGGTTAATGTGACCTATAAACTGTACAACGCAATTGAAAAACAAACTGAAATCTTTTTTTTTTTTTGGGGGGGGGCTAAAATACTAAAATAATGTGGTTGCATAAGTGTGCACACCCTCTTATAACTGAGGATTTAGCTGTGTTCAGAATTAAGCAATCACATTCAAAATCATGTTTAATAGGAGTCAGTACATACCTGCCATCATTTAAAGCGACTCTGCTTAACCCCAAATAAAGTTCAACTGTTCTAGTAGATCTTTCCTGATATTTTCTTAGTCGCATCCTACAGCAAATGCCATGGTCCGCAGAAAGCTTCTAAAGCATCACAGGGATCTCATTGTTAAAAAGGTATCAGTCAGGAGAAGGGCACAAGAGAATTTCCAAGGCATTAGATATACCATGGAACACAGTGAAGACAGTCATTGTCAAGTGGATAAAATATGGAGCAACATTGACATTACCAAGAACTGGACGTCCCTCCAAAATTGATGAAAAGACGAGATGAAAACTGGTCTGGGAGGCTGCCAAGAGGCCTACAGCAACAGTAAAAGAGCTGCAGGCTCTGGCAAGTATTGGCTGTGTGGTACATGTGACAACAATTTCCTGTATTCTTCATATGTCTGTGCTATGGGGTAGAGTGGAAAGATGGAAACCTGTTCTTACGAAGAAAAAAAACATCCAAGCCCGGCTAAATTTTGCAAAAACACATCTGAAGTCTCCCAAAAGCATGTGGGGAAAATGTGTTATGGTCTGATAAAACCAAGGTTGAACTTTTTGGCCATAATTCCATAAATTATGTTTGGTGCAAAAACAGCACTACACATCACCAAAAGAACACCATACCCACAGTGAAGCATGGTGGTGGCAGCATCATGCTTTGGGGCAGTTTTTCTTCAGCTGGAACTGGGGTCTTAGTCCAGGTAGAGGGAATTATGAACAGTTCCAAATACCAGTCAATATTGGCACAAAACCTTCAGACTTCTGCTAGAAAGCTGAACATTTCAGGATGACAGCGACCCAAAGCACACATCCAAATCAACCAAGGAATGGCTTCACCAGAAGAAGATTAAAGTTTTGGAATGGCCCAGCCGGAGCCCAGACCTAAATCTGATCAAAATCTGTGGGGTGATCTGAAGAGGGTTGTGCATAGGAGATGCCCTCGCAATCTGATGGATTTGGAGTGTTTTTGCAAGGAAGAGTGGGCAAATATTGCCAAGTCAAGATGTGCCATGCTGATAGACTCATACCCAAAAAGACTGAGTGCTGGAATAAAATCAAAAGGTGCTTCAACACAGTATTCGTTTAAGGGTGTGCACACTCATGCAACCATAATATTTTAGTTTTTTATTTTTACTTCACTTCACCTAAAAGATTTCAGTTTGTTGTTCAACTGAGTTGTACAGTTTATAGGTTTACATTAAAGATGGAAAAAGTTCTGAAATTATCTAATTTTTTTACATCACAGAAACCTAACATTTTAACAGGGGTGTGTAGACTTTTTATATCCACTGTATGAATCAACTGAAGTACTGTGGCAAACATCAATCCATCAACAAATAAGTGAATAACGTTTATGTGTGTGCAGAGTATATTCTCTTTTGGTCATCCAACAGAACCAAGCAGTTTGCTATATTTTCATAATATACTAGGCAGGAAATACAGCAACTGCATCAACAACCTCTCCTCATCTCTAACTCTATCTCTAATTGCAGTATCCTCTTTCAGAGAGGAAAGCAAACTTTATATAACTTATGATAAAATCAGGGTTTTTTTCTTCAGCTAGGATGCAGGGGAACGCAGTTCTGGCACCTCCAGCACTGAATGTATATCATCGCAAGGAATGCTGAAGGGTCTACTGATGCTGGCTGTTGGAGGATCTATTTTTGGAAGTGGGTCTATTGTTGCTGGGGAAGTCTATTGCTGCTGGTGGATCTATTGTTGTTAGGGGTGTGTGTCTTATGTTGCTGGGGAGTTAATTGTTGAGAAAGGGGTCTATTGTTGCTGGCTGCTGGAGGATCTATTGATGCTGGCTGTTGGAAGTCTATTGTTCCTGGGCTGGATTTATTGTTACTGCTTTTCTTGTTAGTAGCAAATTCCATGAAAATTACTTAGCACCAGATACTTGGTTCTTTATTCTCTAAAACGAGCTGTTCTGGGAGCGGGATAGGGAAGTGGAACCAAGGAATGGTGCTCATAGGTGGTTAGGGGGTGGACACATGGGATGACTTGGAAGGGGGAGGAGTTCCTGCACCTATTCTCTGACAACGCCCTGGAAAAAAAAATTATTTTTTGTTATATCAAGTAGTTTTCCCTCTTTGCTTCACCTTGTAACATAGAGAACAGGTTCAAGAAAACACATGTAAACACAGACAGATATAGTGGAGTTGACATGATCCTAGGACTAGATCAGGCAATGATCTAACATCTATGGTAACAACCCCCCCCCCCCCAAAAAAAAAACAAACAAACAATCAACTTGTCAGGTGTGAAAATCTTCACCTTCTATTATTCTCTTCTGCTTATAAATGCACTCACATACACTCAGATGCCTAAATCATATGGGTTTATATAGCAGTTGTTCAAGAGATGTGGTGGTCGGATCAAGTCTGTATGTCTACGTCACCTTGACAGTTTACAGTGTGCATGATCATTACACTCACATTGTAAACTCAATGATAGAACAAGTTTGCAGCGTTCACAAATGTGCCCTACTCTGCCTATTCTTTAGGGCCATTATGCACTGGCAAAACCCTTGCAGCAGCAGAGAACCACTAACATGCAACTACCACCTTCCCTAATGAAGGTCGATCCCCTGCTAATTAAAATGCTGTAGAACTGGACTCACTAGCAAGAGAGTAGTGACAGTGCTACACCTTGCTGGTTCAGGCAGTTAGGCAGCCAGAATAGAAGGTGAGTTGAATTGTATTGATGTTATTGGCATGTTGTTGTTACTGACATATTTTCTGGTGTGACATAAGCCTTAGGATTTGAGAAAAGTCTGGGAAGGTGGATGGGAAGTTGGGGCTCTAATGGGCAAGCGGTATATATATTTATTACACACACACCGTTTTCTTTTTTTTTTTTTTTCCCGAGAACTGTCTTTAGTTCCCATCATTTTACTACAAACATGACTTCTCTTGCTTAAGATTCCTTCAGTTGTAGAAAGTACAAAGTAATGTATTTAAATCCACTGACCTGCTGAAAACTCCTCCAGCCAAACCATAGTTTGAGTTGTTTGCCCTTTGCAAAACTTCTTCCTCTGTATCAAAGGGCAGGATTGACATCACGGGGCCAAAAATTTCTTCTTTTACACAGGTCATGTCATCAGCACAATTTCCTATCAGCAATTCAAACACAAAAGACTGAAAACATGGACAATTTGTACATTTCATAGAAGCTGCTATACACCATTTGCTAAAAAGTTGAGGAAAAAAAAGAAATAATTTCTTGAAATAGCATATATTTAACGTTACAAGCAAGTAAATTGTACTAAGGTAAAATAAATAAAGCATATGCAGTACAGCTCTGCACATTTTCTACGGTTTTAACCCCTTCTCTCCAACCGTACACAGATATCATTCCTCATGGAGGTGGGTCTTTATATCTGTGTAATTGTCTTTGTGCTGGTAGTGCACTGCACAGCATGCACCCAGCACAGGGACTGAGCTCTCAGCAGGAGCCCTGGGTCTCTTACTAATGACTGGGACCCAGTATTCCCAGTTCCACATCACCTGATCGCTGTGATAGCTTCTGATTGGCTATCACAGTGGTCAGTCACTACGCAGCCCACTTACATGCTTACTTTGTACATTGCATCTTTCTCTCCTTGCAGGAGATGAAGATGTAAATAAACAAAACTGTGTAAAAAAAGAAAATAAAGAAAAAAATATTTTTGTTTAAAGTTTGATCTAGGTCAGTGCCAGGGTTAGTGTTATGGTCAAAGATCAAAGCTGGGTCAAAATATTTTGGGTAGGATTTTAAAAAAAAAAAAAAAAAAAACGTTTTAAATTTGTTAATGTCAGTTTGTATTACGTAGGATAGAAGAAAAGTGAAATGCGCATTATTGTTTCTGGGCCCAACTAAGGGTACATACAACAACCAACATTTACATATGTGGTATTGCTGTGTTTTTCAGGAGCAGAAAATTTATTTTAGGTTCTTTGGTGGTAAATTATGGTAATAGCAAGAAATATACCACTAACGTTAAAAGAAAAAAAAAAAATTCACTATTTCTGGCCAGTGTTCCTTTCACCAAAATTAAAAAAAAAAAAAAAAAAAAAAAAAAAAAATCAGGAGATATCCGTAATCATTTACCACCAAAAGAAAGCACAAGAACTAGGAAGGTTCTTTTAAATAATAGTGAAGTCTGAAGAGGACACAGGACAGCTCTGAATCTGACATAATGAGCAGGTATTTTTGCTGTTATCAAAAAGAAAACACCATGCTTTAACCTCCCTAGCGGTCTGATTATGTCAGTATTTCTGTGCTCAAATCGGTACTTTTTTTGCATGGAAATATGTTGTTTTTTTATTGTAGGCCTGTAATTCATAGGAATAACTCACTGAAATCTGTCCGAACAAGAATCTAGAAAACATCCCGGGTATTATAAAATTTGAAACACGAAATCATAAATTATAATATAATAAATAATCATAAAAATAATAATATAATAATAAATTGAATTCAATAATGTAATCAAACCAAAAACACTGAAATTTGAAATAGAGCAACAAGTTCGCACATCACGGAGCTCAGTCACAAAATCGTTTTCAGTGTCTGATGACGAATTTCCCCACAAATCATTATCACTCAATTCTGCAAATGGTTCTAATTTACTATCGCTGTTCTCTAGCTGGTCTAAAACCGCTTTTGAACTAAAGGGACGCTTTTTGGACGCCATGGACATTTCTGTTTCCAGGCAGAAAGAACGGTTAAAATGCAGGCAGAGCGCTGGACAAAGCACTAGGGACAAAATGTATGTGAAATGGTTTGATACAGTATTGTAATACTATCAGATTTTGGTGTATTGAGTGAACGTCAAATTTTCACATTTTTGAAATTCCCGCCTGTTCCGTCCCCGTATGTCCCGACGCTAGCAGGGAATGGAACCCGGAAGACGGATGCCGGCATCGGCTGGAGGACATGGCCAGGGACACTACAGGGGGGACATCGCAGGACCGCAAGACAAGGTAAGTGCTCCAGGGATCCCAGAGAAACGCTGTAATATAATCCCAAGTGTAGCTCGGGGTTACCGCTTCTGGTACTGAAAGATAACCCCGAGCTACACTCGGGAATACCGCCAGGGGGGTTAAACACATCTGCATGATTGTTACTGCTTAATGTATATCCAAGTAATACATGTCATTTGACTTTATCTCAGCCTACTGATCTTTGACTTTAAAACATTAACTATAAAATCAAATGTGCATATATTTCTTAAAACATACAGAATAAACAGAGTAGAAACCCTACCCCTACCTCCCAAGAACATAATACTAAATTTTCCCAGCAACATTTAGTGCAGAGCATTTCATATATCCTAGGTCAGTCAGTTGCTTCTTGCACATCTGATCATGTGGATTTGACTTGCTTGATATAAAGTTATACACACAGTGCACTTATTGTTCTTTTGTTTCAGGAATACAGCTTAAAAGACAGAAAAAAAATAACTATATTTGGCCATTTTATTTTTTAGATGCATTCAGTGACGGTATTTTGTTGAAAAAGAAAATAAACCATGCTACAGAAACAGAGCTATTCTTCCCTCACCCCCTTCACGGTCTACATTGTAAAAAGGTAAAACTCAAAACACCCATGTACTGTATGTGTTGTATTATATATATATATTAACCTTGTCAATGTTGCATAAATTAACCAATTCCAAACTTAATGTATACACAATACACCCCTCCAAACAAAAAAACTAAATCTGAAGAGTTCTCCGTCCCATTATATCACATTTTTTGCATCAAATATTTTAAGTTGTTTAAATCATTTATTCCATAAAGATATGGAAGCTTTAAATATTGTGCATAGTCCTAATTAAGTAATACTGTTTTTTTTATTAATAGGAGGGGGCTATTTATCAGTATTTTTACCCAAGATTCACCCATTTTCCCTAAAAGGTGCTTTTAGAAAAATGTGTACGTCTTGGATAAAAATTGTGTGAGTCGTACAAAAAAATTGATAAACATACCGTATACATTGGTAACATTTTTACTTTTTTTTTTATTTATAAAAGCTCTCATATTTACATTTAAATTGGACCCTATTAGTCAGTGTACACAATTCTGGTCGAAATTAAGGTACCAGTTTCCACATAACATTCGGGAATATCCTTCCAGTGATTTGGATCAAAATTCATAATTTACAAAAACTTATGAAAGTTAAATGAACAATGAAAACAAATAGAAATATAATTAAAATAAATACCTAGTACACAGGGGTACATGAAAAATCCTCCTTTCAGTTTAGGATCTTGTGGAATGTAGGGATCTCCTCCAGTCAAGATTTTTGCACCCTAAGAAATTGAGATGTATCTTTAAATATTATAGCTATTATCACCATTTGACAAACAAAATGACACATCAAAACAAAACTTATTGTAATTAATTTCATATGGAACACTTATGAGCTCTAGTTATTATCTGGAGCTAACATCTAATTAGTCTATCACAAGGAAATTGATGTGGGGAGCTACACAGGAAACCCCCCTATTAATTTAAAAAAAAAAAAAAAAAAAAGTCCTATGGTCTCTGAAACAGAATAGAATGGGCAAAAAGCCTGACACTGGATAGTGCTGAGAGCTAAATTCTGACCCAGCTGAAGAAAGAAGTGGATTTGTCTCACAGAAACTCGTGGGATCAAAAAGTCCTGAGACCAACACCAAAAGGAACCATGCCTTTCTTGTCCAGATATAGACCCTGTGGGAAGTAGACTTCCTAGCTGTTAGCATGATAAGAATAACAGATTCAGAGATACTGCCTGTCTTTCAAAGCAGTAACGCCAGTGATCTGGAAGCAGTATGGTAAATCGGCCCGGAGACAAAAGATCCTGAAGATCTGGCAGAGCCCACAGAAGGTCCACAAGGAATCTTATGAGGTTGGTGTACCATACCAGCCTCAGCCAGTCCCAGATCCAAAAGCTATAGACTGAGGCAGTCTACCTGGCAATTGTCCACACCTGGGATATACTTGGCAGCGAAACAGAACGTGAAGACTGCATCTGACCTACCTATTTTGCCATGGGAACACTTCTTGTATTTTCCTGATTGTTAAAGTCCTTGCCCTGGCATTTTATCACTGAATCCAGATCCAATGACCTTCCAGCAGAATGAACCAGCTCTGCAGAGACAGCCAAATCGACATCCAGGATGTTAATCAGGAAACAATACTCTGGAGATTATCTATCTCCTTTCCAGCCTAACAGGTTAGCATTCATTGTGAGAATCCTCCAAAAGACGGGAAGAGAAGATTCCCCAATAGAGTCAAATCCCTGAGCCACCAGACCAGGGACATGCTAGTCTTCAGTACCAAAAGAGCTGATCTATCCACGTGTACGATTGACTTGTCCCACAACAGAACGTTGCCTTTTAGAGATCTGAAGTGGAACTGAGCAAAAGAGACTGATATAAAGGAGGTAACCATCAAGTCCAAACCTCTCATGCAACGCCGAGAGATTGGAGAGCTGTAATCTGAGATCAGACAGTTGAAAGTTTCTCCTGTGGGGAAAACATTCTGGCTTGATCTAAGTTAAGGATTAGATCCGGTAATTTGAAGAGATGAGTTGGTTTCAGCATCAATTTCTAAAAATTCAGGATCCATCAGAACTGTTATAATGTCTGTACAGTTAAAGCCACAGGATTTCAGTAGGGGTAATACTGGGCTCAGCACCTTGCTGAACACCCATGATGCAGGCAAGAAGCTGAAGGAAAGTGCCACAACTGCCACAAGCAAGCCGCTTGCTATGGGGGCACCCCGCTGCTCCGTATGTCCATTCACACATGGAGCCGCGGCTTGCCCCCCCCCTCCTTCATTGGCCAACTGGCTGTGATTGACAGCAGCGGGAGCCAATGGCTCCCTCTTGCTATCTCAGCCAATGAGGAAGCAGAGACCTGGGAAAACCGAGGCTGTCATGCACATCGCTGGATCTCGATGGTGCTCAGGTAAGTATTGAGGGGGCTGGGGGAGCGGCTGTACACAGAAGAGCCTTTACAACCACTTTAAGACATCCTATGTCTATATTCTGGGCTTCACAAACCTAAAAAATATCACTTGCATCCAAAGTTCTGGTGGTGTGGGGGTGGTTTCTGCCCCTTTAGGGGTTGGTGGACTGAAAATTTAGGAGAAACCTATGAACATCAAGCTGTATTAGGAACTTCTATAGCAGACTGGTGATGTGTCTGATCTAAAATGCAAAAGAAGACATGCTTCAAAGTCACACACATTTCACTTACCTGTTCCTTGGCACCCTTAATGAAACCAAATACTTTTTCCAGTTGAGGGCGGTTAATAAGTGGTCCCATCCTGGTGCCTTCCAAAAGAGGGTCTCCAATTTTTATTTTGTTTACCTTCTTCACTACGGCTTCAGTAAACTTCTCCAGAATGTCCCGTTGAACAAACACACGTGTTCCATTGCAGCACACCTAAACAGTGCAATTGTGAGGAGTTCATCAAAATGAGTTCTTATAGGAGAGCACATTAGTTAAATTTAAATGCCAAATAGGTGTACGTGTCAGTCTTTAAATTGAGAAATTTACCAAACATTAACTCACAACTTCTGTTCTAAAACATCCTATTAGCTATAGCCACTAATTTCACAATAATAAAAAAATGCACTGGTAGATTTTTGGAATGGTTTGCAAATAACAACATCTTAGAAATAGCTTAATAAATTCCATGCATAATGCTGTCAATACACCGGCATCAATGTCAAGAAAAAGTTACATATTGTAGCATGTATGGAAGCCATACATAATTATTTTATTAAAATCAATAGTACATTTACTAGACATGTGAAAACTATTTCTAAGAAGATCACCAATGGTTTGGCATTGCTTATGTGTATGGCCAGCTTCAGTTAACAAAAATAGACAAGAAGAGAAAATGCTCAGCTCTAGAACTCAAGGCCAAAACAATAAATATAAAAATGAAAAAAAAAAACTTCTGGATAAATTGCATACAATGAATACATAGTTACCTAATTTCCCAAAATTAGGGCTCATTCACACAGGGCAATTAGGCGCGTACTCCGTGCAGGGCTGTCTTTTACAGGCACAGGGATGCACTGGTGTTACATGCATCCCTGTGCCGGCAGTCCCATGTCTACTGGGACACAGCCGCTTTGTCCCAATGTGGCATCCGTGTGGGTGGGTTCAGGGCCATGTACCCGCACAGATGTCACATTGGGAGGCAGCGGCTGTTTCCGTGCAGCCACATGTCCTAAAACACACCTATGGGACTGCACGCCACACCTGTGCATCCTTATGGTCGGCAACACATGGTCCTGCATGGGGCACGGAACTAATCGCCCTATGTAAACGGGGCCTTAGAAGACAGCAATCACTACTTTACTGATTGCTATTGTCACTTCTATATTGACTGCTTCTCAGTCTGCGACAGCTCTCGAATAAAGAACATATGCATTGTGTACTGCTGCTTGTACTCCTGTACATTTTGAGAAATGTAAAGCTTAAAGTGTTACTAAACCCAGGACCCTGAATTTGCTTTATCTGGTCTCGCACAGTACACAGAACATGGAAATGAAACCATTTTAGTTCATATAAACTGTAAAAATACCTTTTTTCCATTAGCAGTTAGAGCAGTCATGTGACTTCTATCAGTGTCCAGCAGAGCACTGGTTAAAGCCTGTAGGAGGAATTTTCATTCTCCCCCGATTGTCCTATGAGGCTGCAGGACCCCTGACCTTCTGTCTGGACAGTGCGGATTGACTCTGTGCTGGTCACATGCACTCTCCCAAGGAAAATTAAAGAAAAAAAACTCCCCAGCAATACACACCAAACTGAGCATGTGCAGCTTTCCTCCAAGGCTCTGTTCTATCAAGCAATAGATTGGGGACAGTAGAAGAAAGGGAGGATCAGCAAAGATAGGATCAAACATCCTTTTTTACACAATGCAGAGGATTAACCCCTTAGGTTCCACAGTGAGAAGAACAAGCATGCTTTACTGCATATACAGACTGATTTTACTGTTGTGGGTTTAATAACACTTTAATTTTAAAGCTCTGCATTTTTATCTTGAGGAGTTACAGTTTTACAATCACTGTGTTCGGATGTATGTTGTATAGCACACAAGCGAGTGCAGAGGTCTTTGTCTCCTTTGTACTACTATTTTAAATTTGCTTAACCAGAAGAGAAAATAGCCTAAAACAATAACTGAAAGACTTTTGACCAGAAGAGAAACAATTCTGAGGACATTCCATCTTGCCCCATTCTTGCAACAGCTTGTTAAATCTCACAGAATGAATGTACATTGAGTTTCTCTGGACTGATAGTTATGCAGTTTTATTTTATAATTAGATCCCAAAATGTTGCACAACACAAAAACTACCACCTTATGGCTTGTGGCAGACTTTCTCAACATTTTTAATACAGAGGAATCCTATCTATACAGCTCAAGGTACATTAGCAAGTTGAGATATACAAATAAATAAAATAGGAAATATGACATTAATTTATTTGACATCCAGGGCTGCGCTGAAAAACAAAACTACCTAGCTTGGAGCAGAGTAGTGTGTGATTTTGTATGTTATTAGTATTATGGGGGGGGGGAGAGTGAAGGTCCCTTTACTTGGCTAAAAAGATCATCAGTGTTAGTGCTTACTTATCTAACAAACAGAAATTGCTCAGTGAACCCCTAGAAACCTCTGGAGCAATCCTAGGGTTTCATGGGCGAGAAAGCTTGGTCTTTGGATAACTAAATTAGACTGGTTTATAAATCATTATGAGCTTAATTTTGACACTAGAGTCTTTGGACTATCGATTCCTTAACTGGGGACATGAGCCTTCCAAAACTAAAGCGAGCCAATCACAACTGTGCTTATGCAGGAAGCTAAATTTTCAGTTCTCATTTATTATAACTGCCCAGGCAGTAGCTAGCTAAAAATGTGGCATGTGTTCCAGATCTGTTGTGGATACCCTTTTGCAACACTTGATAGCATTGTGTAAACCATTGAAGATTAATCTGATACCTTCTCAATCACATTTTACCTGTCCTTGTGTGAGGAAATTTGCCATCATTGCACCATTCACAGCATTTTCCAGGTCACTGTCAGAAAAGATAATGAGAGGAGACTTTCCGCCAAGCTCCAAAGTCACAGGTTTAATGCCTCTGGCTGCCATGTCCATGATCTGCAAAGATACAGGTCGGTTTACAGCTTGTTAATTATTTCTGAGGTATGTAGTAAGTGCACGTTGATCTGGTACCATTCCACTGCAGAATGGGATGATGAGAAAAGTGCAGAGTAAGTGATTTACAGCAAGTAGATTTACCTAGACAAAATACTCTGCAAACACAATTTATAAACACTGTGGTCAGACTTTTATGGTACTTTATCTTCCCCGAGTTTACATTAAATAGCCTTAAAGCAGACGTATCCAGGAGGTTAAAAGTCTCCATGAATAAATCCTTTATTAAATGGCTTGTTCACACCTTACAGGCTTAGCTTACTGGTGCACAGCATGTCAACTATAGTTGAGGACTGGACTATTGTTTTTGGTTGTATGCACAGTGCTTTGTCAGAGAGCTTCCAAAGTCCCCTATGTACCAGTGTGAGTATGCTTTACATGCTGTGCAATAATAGTAGTAGTCTTTAAGAAACTTATAATTGTCACGAAAACCCACTTCAAAAAGCATGCAATAACCTTTTTTTTTTTCCTCTGACAAAATGTGAAGGATCCTTAAATTGTTACACATTACCTACCAGCTTCTCTTTCAAACATTGTGTATTTAAAAATAAACTGTCACATCCTGAATATACAGAAATTAGAAGAACATCCTAAAAAGACCTGACTACCTGGATCTAGGGAGCCCCTTCCCCCCCACCCAATCCTACCTAAAAAGTGACAGCACTCTGTGCTTGAGCAGCCCATCACTGTCAGGATTAGGTACAGCTTCCTCTGGTCTCTGCAAGCTATCCAAATAGGACTTTCAGAAAATTGAAATATAAAGACTAACAAATTTAATGTAATGTTTAGAATGTTTTTTATTATACATACATGTAAATCTAGGAGACAAGATTTTAACCATTATGGTCAATGGTCACCCTGAAACTGGCAATACACGTAATGAATTTCAGCCAGTTTCTGATCAACCAGCTGAAATCTGCTCTGCATGTTGCCCTGTCAACATCTTCCCACTAGCCATCCTTTGATTGTCAGCTGAACAGTACTTGCATCAATTAATGTTCAGGCGTTTTGACAGTCCTTAGCATCGGCTGTCAGAATACAATGGCCTCAGTGGAGATTCATCTATGCACACTGTTTGTTGTGGATGGAGGAATCTGTTTTTTTTGATCAGCCCTTGGGATTAATTTAAAAAATATGTGGTTATGGCCAGGTATAAGCTGCTCCATTTATGGGTTAGAAAAAACTAAAGAACTAGAACAAAGGAATACAACTGATGTTATGTTGTCAAACAGTGAATTTCTTGAAATGTTTATGCCTAGATATAAATAGGCAACATTACATAAATTAACAAGCACAAATGTAAAGAATTTTGACTAGTTCTATTTGGAGTTGCACCAAGTCACCTTTGAGCCAGTGGGAACACTGCCAGTGAAGGATATTTTTGCCACATCTGGGTGCTTACAGAGGAATTCTCCAGTGGTGGCCCCACCTTGCACCACATTGAAGAGACCAGGTGGACCGCCTGCCTCTTTGAAGATCTCAGCCAGCAAAACTACAGTTATTGGAGTGAAGGGAGAAGGCTTGTACACCATGGCATTTCCTAAAGAAACATTACAAAATAATTTTAGTAGCCAACACTTGTATATTAGCATGATATACAGTAACCTTAGTTCTATAAACATGACGTATGCAGAAAGGACAGTATCAGTATATTAGTAAAGGTCAGTCTTCAAATGGAGACCTCTTGTTACATACTGATAAGGCGGCGGCAAGTCCAAAGCCTATCTAAAATTAAGTAAAAATAATATACTTGGTCCCCTCGTACACATGTTGTGGCTCTTCCCTAAGCTTCACCACGATTGGGCGTCTATTTTCACCATCCTAAATACACTTTGTTCCACACATGTTTTGCCTGACCCAAACGTTTCTCTACTAGGAGTGGTCCCGGATGATACTCTTCCATCTGATGTCCACTCAATGTGGACAAAATCTTTATATTTAGTTCGTAAACTCATATTACAGAAATGTTTTTTATCAACTCCACCGACTTGCAATCAGTGGATAGATGTGATGAATTTTAACCTACGGAGGGAGGAGCCGACAGATAATCGTAGGGGCTGCCCTAAAACATTTCAAAAGATACAGTCCAAATGGCTAATTTATCAACTCAATACATATTGTCCTTGGGAGCTGATACAAGGAGTTAGGTGAATGATCTGCCAGTGGTTTTGGAAGTAGACTGTCTCTCAGTTTAACTGAGATACATTGCATAACTGTATAATTCTTTGATGCGACTCCCAGACAGCTTTTGGAATGGTACTAATCATTGTAAGTTCATAATTATAACTCAAGGTCTCTTAAATCCATTATGGCATGATCTCAAGGTAGTATGCTTTATTTGTACTGTATTTTTTCTCTCTTTGGATACCTCTACTCAGGGCTTTTTTTCAGCAGAAACGTGGGGGAACGCACCTCCAGCACTAAATGTATGTAATGGCAAGGATGTTGTCTGCTGGGGATCTATTTTTGCTTAATCATCTATTGCTGCTGGCTGCGAGGAATCTATTTTACTGCTTATCTTGTTATCATTAACAAACCCTATATACATTTCATAGCTCCACAAAATGACACTTGGCTGTGTATTCTCTAAAGGAGCGGTACAGGGTGATGGGTAGGGGGTGGAACCAAGGGATGTTGCCCAAAAGTGGATGGGGGGGGGGTAACCAAGAAGTAACTCAGAAAGTGGGGGGGGGGGTGTTGTTCCTGCAGCTATTCTCTGAGAAAAAAAAAAAGCACTTCCTCTACTCATAGTGCAGAAATGTGTTTTTCTGTATAATTGTTTGTTGTTAAATGAAAAACTGTTTAATAAAAAACTACTACTAAAATCCATGACAATGCAGATAAAAACAGTTCAATATTGCAAAAGAGTGAGTGAATGGCAAGTAGCAAAAGTGTTCACTCTCTGTGCAGGAGGGGACTACAGAATTAGGCCAATACAGAAACTATAAAGGCTTATTATAACTACCTTGATACTACCCAATTCAGTTCCAAAACATTTAATAAATTGTTATGTCACAACACTAGATGATAAAATGCATAGGGCAGCTTGTATCTATTTAGGTAGCGTAGTATGTTAAATAAGTCGTATTTTGAATGAATTGTCCTTTTATTATTAATATGCATTTTACAATGTAATATATTGTCTGGTGATATGATAATACGGCATTCGGAAGAGTGAGTGTTGATCATCAGAGTAATAAAAATATATATAAAATATATAAAAATATGTCATTTTTTTTGTTTTTTTAATGTATCCCCAGCTTTGAGGGATCAGGTTTTCCCAACTTCTGGGTCCAGAGGTGTCCCAAGATGGCCAACCATGTCACTTCCGGGTTCAGAGATGATCCAAGATGGCCAATGACATCACTTCTGGTGGCCAGGAATTGATGTCATTTCTGGGGGTAGGGAGGAGAGATACATGGGTTATTTAAGGGCTCCACATTTGTCGGCTCCCTGCCTTCTGAGGAAGCCTGAATCTGGGGTGTAACGCGTATAGGTGGAAGGAGCTAAGACCCTAGACAGTTTGAATTGATGACCATCCGCAAGAGTGGGGTGGTGAGCCATGTAACGAAATATACATTATATGCTGGCTTGTTTCTTACATCTTGTAACTGTTTTTAATCTGGGCACTAATAAATAGTTTTATAAATAGAGAGCACTATGGTTCCACTTTTCTGTTTTCCATAATACATATTATATGAGAGCATCAGCTGGAGGAGTGTATACGGTGCCAGTGCCAGGAGAGGAGTTGGAGGAAGACCACAGAGGGTGTACACAAGTCTGTCCATATGTTGAGTGCATAATGACCTATTTATGAGGTCATGAAGTGAGGTGAGCAGGTTTTCACCTAATGGTGGTGACAGGGTTGGTACTGAAGAAGAGAGAAGATTTATCTTATACACGTTGCACAGTGGTGTTATCACAGACTTTTTCATGGGACTTATTTAGGTAGGCTAAATTTGGCCATACACTAATTAGCTTTTGTACACACATTTATGGAAAAATTCTCAGTACAACTGATGGCTTGGAGAAGAAGTACTTCAAATATGTGTTAGCTTCAGACAGGGTCCACATATGTGTGGGCCGGTTTGCCTGGTCTGGAGCGATTTCATTGCGATTGAACCAATTCAGTGGTTCGGACTGAAAATTTGCACAAGACTCTTTTTCAAATCGCACTGACTGACCCCGAACATATCTGCAAGGGCTCCACAGAAAGGCCTTTTGGTTCACGTCATTGGAATTTGCAAATATGTGATTTTGGAATAAATTGACTTTCCTGAACAAAAGCCACACACGCTGTTAAAAGTTAGTTTAAGAAAAAAATTCCATTCTGCTCCTTTGAATTTTCTAGCTGATGCAGTCGAAAAATGAAAGTTGATTTGATCCTAGTAGTGATTACAAAATCAAAGGAAACAAACAATTCTACTTGTGTATGACCAGCTTAAGGGTCTAGGACGGGGGTCGGCAACCTGTCGATCGCTGGCAGGTGACAGGTAGACTGTAAACAGGTCCTCGCGCCGCCATCCCCGCCTTTCACCTGCCGGTGCCCACCCCCCTTCTCTCAGCCTTCTCCGCTGCTGTCATCCTCAGTGCACAGTGGAGAGTGGAAGGCAGCACAGCTCAGGACAGAGGGTGGGAGGAGGAGCTGGCCAAATCAACTTTTCCTATTGACAAGCTGGTAATTTGTTGCTAGGACCGCCCTAGCAACCAATCACCTGCAGTGTAATATGAAAAGTAAATTTGGCCAGCTCCTCCTCCCGCCCTCTGTCCTGAGCTGTGCTGCCTTCCACTCTCCACTGTGCACTGAGGATGACAGCAGCGGAGAAGGCTGGGGGAAGGGGAGGAGACGCAGAGGTTGCTGCTATGGGGTAAAGGGGGGGGAGGGCAGAGGACACTACTGGGGGGGTTGATGTGCAGAGGACACTGCTATGGTCAGGGCCACCCCCATAGCAGTGTCGTCTACCGCCCTTCACATAACTCCCCCTATAGTAGTGTTCTCAGCCCCCCTTCCCCCCACCAGCAGTGTCCTCTCTCAAACCCTTCCCTCCAATGGACAGGTATTTTAAAAATCTTAATTCCCAACAAACAGCTGGGGATTGGGATTTTTCTGTTCTGCCCCCCTACCCTGGTGCCCTAAGGCAACTGCCTAAGCAGCCTTATGCTGGTGCCCAGCATACAGCTGCTGAGGCAGCAGCCACCTTAGGGCACCAGGGTAGAAGGGGGGGACAGAAAAATCCCAATCCCCAGCTGTTTGCTGTGAATTCAGATTTTTAAAATACCTGCCTTCCAACGATCCCTTTATTGTGCTCTTGGAGCAGCTGAAAGCTAGCATCTCCTCCTTGCCCTCCCACCAGCTTACAGGTGCTGCAGGAGCAAATCCAGGGGAACGTTTTTAGTAAATGCCTCCCCTGCTGCCCTTCTTGTCCTTGTTCCTACTTTTTTCTGCTGCCGGTCTCCTACCCCAAGTGCTCCCCCTTTAACAGGGCTCCTAATAAAAAATTGTGAAAAATAATAAAAAATAAAATTTGTAGAAATAAAAAAACTACTGACACCTTGCCACTGTCCTACTGACACCAACCTCTGCCCTACTGAATGAAACGGTCTATTTTTAAGGTAGGCTAAGTTTGTATTTTGTTTTTCTACATTTTTCTTACTATTTATTTAGACCTTGCTAGTCAATTTCTTCTGCTAATTAGCAGTTTGCGTTACCAAGCAATTGAACAGGTGTACCTTAGAAAGTGTCTGGTGAGTGTATATAGCTCTGATAAAAGCTTTGCTGGGATGGATAAAGAGTAATAGAACGGAAGGGGTGAAATATTTTTGTGTCTGACACATCACATACCTGAAGGTGTAGGCACTTCGTCACATTTTTCCTCTGTAGGGGAGGATCAGGATTCAAGGGAAACTGAAGACTGGCTTGCTGTTAAAGTTGCACATTTATATACTCACCCTAGATTTACTAAGCAAGTTTCTAACTTGGTACCAGCATGCAGGTCAAGAGATAAGACTCTTTAGACTTAAACCCCATTCACACCATTGCACTGTGGTAATGTAATGGGGTGCTGCAGGGCGATTAATTTTGAATAGCACCCCAACCCAACTGCATTGTAGTGTACCGAAATGCACAGTGACATACTATCATGTACTTTAGTGTGCTGCGCTACCAAAGGTTTATTATATTTGCCATTGTGGTGCATTGGGTGGTCAAGTCAAATGTGGCAACTTGATTTCAAGAAATCTTCAAAGGACAGCACATAAAGCTGTAGCTTTTCTTCCAGCTGTACAATTGTCAGGCAGGGTGCCGGGTCCTGAGATCTGGTCCCACTAATGGCTCTGGCCCCTCTGCCAAGCATTCCCACAGCAAGTATACAAGCCAGAGCCTTTTAGGGGGACTAGATCTCGGGACCTGGCATCCTGCACAGTCCTACCACAACTTCCTACAACCCCTTTAAAGCAGGTCCATACCTCGAGTTGTTCCTGGGGCTGGAAGAAAACATTGATAAGAGCCTTTACAGTGCACCTGTGATTCACTGATCACAGTTGAAATGTTCTGCAGGCTTGAATTAAAAAAAAAAAAAAAGTAAACATATATTGACCATAAGATTGGTGTTGCTGTATTACTTTAGCTTAGCCTTTAAATTTTAAATAACAGGTTCATTTTGAGTAGTACACATACCACAAGCAAGAGCTGGTCCAGCCTTCCAGCATGCAATCTGGAAGGGGTAGTTCCAAGCACCAATACCAACACAAACTCCAAGAGGTTCCCTTCTTGTGTAACCAAATGAACCTCCAGAAAGCTGCACATGTTGACCTAAATAGAGAGAAAGCATATCACAATCATTACATTGAAAGAAAAAAAAAAGTTTGAATATGTACTGGCTTTTAAAGTTTATACTGATAATTACATATAACAGTAAAAACAAACATTGAAATGCAAGATGTCCGAGTGCTCTGCTTACTAAAGCTTAACCTCCCTGGTGGTCTTATTATGTCAATATTTTTGAATGTCAAAGTGGTACATTGTTTTGCATGGAAACTTGTTTTAAATTGTAGGCCTGTAATTCTTAGGAATAATGCACTTAAATCTGTACAAACAAGACATCCCACGTATGGTAAAGTTTGAAACACGAAATCATAAATTATAATATAATAAATAATTATACAATAATATAATAATTCAATAATGTAATCAAACCAAAAACAATGACATTTGTCCAATTAAGGGTGCAATATTACTAGACACTGCATATTGGTTTAGTAAACATCCCGGGTATGAAAAAATATTGACATGGGACTGCACAAAGTCCGACGTCACAATCAGGACAATGGAACCTGGTTTCCTTTCTGATGGTCTTTCCACCGTACCACAGTCAATAGAGCACCAAGTTTGCACATCACTGCGCTCAGTCGCAGAATCGTCGCTGTTGTCACTTTCAGTGTCTGATGACGAATTTCCCCACGAATCACTATTGCTCAATTCTGAAAGTGATTCTAATTCACTATCGCTGTTTTCTAGCTGGTCTAAAACCGCTTTCGACCTAAAGGGACGCTTTTTGGATGCCATGGATGTTCTCAAGTTTCCAGGCAGAAAGAATGTTAAAAGTGCGGCAGGGCACTAGACAAAGCACTAGGGACAAAACTGAGGTGAAATTATTTGATACAGTAATGTAATCCTAACAGATTACAATGTATTGTGTGTATGTCATGTTTTGCTTACTTTTTTGAATCTCCCGCCAGTTTCATTCCCCTGTGTCGCGGCGCTCGCAGGTAAGGGAAACCAAAAGACGAATGCCGACATCGGCCGGAGGACACAGTGAGAGGACATCGGGGGATCGCAGGGACAAGGTAAGTTACACTACAGTGTAATCCAGAGTGCGGCTTGGGGTTACAGATTTTGGTACTGAAAATTAACCCCGAGCCACACCGCCAGGGAGGTTAAAGTATACTATCTAAAGCAGTAGTTTACAAAAGGCAGCCCTTTGTTTGCTTTTATCTGGCCCCTGGGGCCTTGTTTGCCCCCACTGTCAGCAACTGTGAGGCACAGTGTCAGACAAAAATATTGGCACCCCTGTATTTCTGTCAGATAATGCACCATTTCGCCCAGAAAATTGTTGTAATTACAAATGTAACATCATTCTCATGTTTATTGCTTTTGTTTGCATTGGTATGACACAAAAAAGTGGAGAAACAAAAAGCCAAATCTGACACATTCCATGCAAAACCCCAAAAATGGACTGGGCAAAATTATTGGCACCCTCAATTTAATATTTGGTAGCACACCTCTTGGAAAAAATGACTGAAATTAATCGCTTCCTGTAACCATCAATGAGTTTCTTACACCTTTCTACTGGAATTTTGGACCACTCTTCTTTCACCAACTGTTCCAGGTCTCTCAGATTGGAAGAATTCCTTTTCCCAACTGCTGTTCTGAGATCTCTTCACAGGTACTCTATGGGATTGAGATCTGGACTCATTGCTGGCCAGCACAGTACTTTCCAGAGCTTTGTCTAGAACCATTTCTGTGTGCTTTTTGACGTGTGCTTTGAGTCATTGTTCTGCTGTAAGAGCCATGACCTCTGAAGGAGACCCAAATTTCTGACACTGGGCCCTACATTGCACCCCAGAATACTTTGGTAGCCTTCAGATTTCATAGTCCCATGCACAGAGTCAAGACATTCTGCACCTGAAGCACCAAACAACCCCAAAAAAATCAGTGAACCGCCACCATGTTTGACTGTAGGGACTGTATTCTTTTCAGTAACCTCCTCGGCGATCTGATTATTTCCGATTTTTTGTGCTGAAAGCGGTACCATTTTTTTGCATGGAAATATGTAGTTTTTTTTATTGTAGGCTGTAATTTTTAGGAATAACTCACTGAAATCTGTACGAACAAGAGTCTAGTAAACATCCCGGGTGGATAAAATTTTAAACTCAAAATCATAAATTATAATTTAAGAAATAATCATAAAAAAATAATAATAATACATTTTATTCAATAATATAATCAAACCAAAAACACTGAAATATGAAATACAGAGGCAAATTCGCACATCGCTGAGCAAAGTCGCAAAATCGTTTTCAGTGTCTGATGACGAATTTCCCCACGAATCATTATCACTCAATTCTGCAAGTGTTTCTGATTTACTATCGCTGTTCTCTAGCTGGTCTAAAACCGCTTTTGACATAAAGGAACGCTTTTTGGACGCCATGGACTTTTCTAAGTTTCCAGGCAGAAAGAACAGTCAAAATGCAGGCAGGGCACAGGACAAAGCAGTAGGGACAAAATGTATGTGAAATGCATTGAAACAGCAATGTTTTACTATGTAATAGTCATTTTAAAAAAAATGAAATTTTAAAAAAATTTCAAATTTCCCGCCAGTTCCGGCGCCCGTACGTCCCAACGTCACAGGGACCAGAACACGGAAGCCGGATGCCGGCATCGGCTGGAGGAGATGGCCGGGACGCTGCAGGGGACTCCCTGAGCAACGCTGCATGGTAAACCCGAGTGTAGCTCGGGGTTACCGCTTTTGGGTACTGACATTTTACCCAGAGCTACACTCGGGAATACCGCTAAGGAGGTTAAAGGCCTCATTGCTTTTTATGAAAACAGAATGATGGGCTTTACCAAAAAGCTGTAATTTTGGTTTGTCTGTCCACAGCACATTCTTCCAAAATGATTTTGTCTTCCTCAGGTACATTTTTGCAAACTCCAATATGTGTCAGCAGTGGGGTCCTCCTAGGTGGGTCTCCTACCATAGCATCCTTTTTCATTCAGATGGTGATGTATAGTGCGAGCTGACACAGTTGTACCCTGTGCCTGAAGGTCACCTTGAATTTGTCTGGTAGTTGATCAAGGTTCTTTAGCCACCATTTGAACAATCCTTTGTTGCAATCTTTGTTCAATTTTTCTCTTATGTCCACATCCAGGGAGATTAGCTACAGTGGCATGGGCTGTAAACTTGTTGACAATGTTGCGCACAGTGAACACAAGAACATTAGGATCTATGGAGATGGACATTTAACCTTGAGATTGTCCATGCTTTTCCACAGTTTTTGTTTTAAAATCCTCAGACAATTCTTTGCTGCTCTCTCTTCTCCATGTAGCACACAGACAAAAAAGAAAGTCTGGGTAAATTTTTACCATTCTAACTGGTTGCAAGTGTGATTTCTATATTGTCAGCACCTGTTAATTGATACAGATGAGTTTAATTACATATTACAGGGGCATCAATCACAAGCTTGGAAGGCAATGATTTCTTACAATTTTGAGAAGTTGCAGATAATTTTTGTCCAGTCCGTTTTTGAGGTTTTGCGTGGAATGTTTTTTTTGTTTCGTCACTTACAATACCAATACAAACAAAAGAAAAACATGAGAATGCCTAAACATTTGTAATTCAAACAATTTTCTGGACAAAATGGTGCATTATCTGATAGAAATGCAGGCATGACAATATTTTTGGCCATGACTGTAGTTCCTGCCACTGACCGACAATGGGGCACTAGTCCTCTTGCTGACACCAACGATAGGACACCATGCCTTCTAAAGATACCCACTGATTGGGCAATTCGTCCCGCTACACCAATGATGGGGCACTATCGTCCCGCTGACACCAATGATGGGGCATCTACTCCCCGCTGACTAACACTACTCGTCCCGCTGGGGCATTATTCGTCCCGCTGACACCAATGATGGGGCACTACTCGTCCCGCTGACACCAATGATGGGGCGCTACGCGTCCCGCTGACACCAAATGATGGGGCGCTACGCGTCCCGCTGACACCAAATGATGGGGCACTACTCGTCCCGCTGACACCAAATGATGGGGCACTACTCGTCCCGTGACACCAAATGATGGGGCACTACTCGTCCCGTCGACACCAATGATGGGGCACTACTCGTCCCGTCGACACCAATGATGGGGCACTACTCGTCCCACTGACACCATTGATGGGGCACTACTCGTCCCACTGACACCAATGATGGGGCACTATTCCTCCCATTGATAAACGATGGGGCACCAATACTCCCATTGATATCAATGATGGGGCACAATTTCTCTCATTGATACCAATGATGGAGCACTATTCCTCCCATTGATACCAATGATGGAACACTATTCCTCCCATTGATACCAATGATGGGGGGGCACTATTCTTCCCATTGATGGGGTACTATTTGTCTCATTGATACCAATGATGGGGCAACATTCCTCCCACTGACACTGTGGCAAACTTGCTCATCAGAATGGAGCGGGCAGTTCCCCCCCTCAACCCTCGTTTTCGTGTTCTGTTTATCTGAGGCATTTCTCAAATCACTCCTCACATCCCCCCTGCATTCCTGTGAGTCAAAGGTTATCTCCTGGCAGATGGGGGGGGACACCAGGAAGACATGAGAAGTGGAGCCATCTGAATGATTTTTATCACCCAAAACTATGTAAGCCCACTCATTATCAAACCAACCAGAATAAGTGCACAGTCCTCAGGTCAACTGTATGGTTCATATCACGGGATATGAGCTAGTAATTTAGTGTAGAGTTCCCCAATGACCACTCAAAATGGGTAGTCAGAGCCCCCCCTTCCACTGAGAGGGACCCTTGAAGACTTTTAAGCGAGTTAGAGAGACTCTGACACACACACACACAGAGGGATCTCCCAGCAACATCGTAACAAGGGGAGATCACTTTCTGCTCAAACTTGAATTTGCTAAAACCAGGCATGGGGTAACTTATCCTGTATTTTCCCCGCTATTCTATGTTTGCTGTTCTTTGTATACATATATATATTTTTGTGATATCTCTTTGTACATATTTATTTTGCATCCAACCTTTTAGTAATAAATCTTTCTTTCTGAAAGTGTTAAACTGTTTCTAAGCGCTTACTTGCAATTCACGGGCCTTTGAAGAGACGCTACTGTTTGTATATCTCTGTATAGCAAGGTCCGCGGGCCGTGCTATATAGACCAATATTTCAATCATTATAGTGTATATTTAGTAACGGGAGTTTCCCAGTCTCCGACAAAAGTGGTGGTGGCACTAGGGTTAGTTGCGTAACTAACCTGACCCAGTAACAAGCGCATCCAGGCTGCAGGCACCGATTGGGGGCAATCGCTGTGTAGGGTGCAGCTGGGTGGGGCCTTGTTCCGCGTCACACCGTGGTTTTGGATCGGCCGGCCCTTCGGACACGAGTTTGGTGAGAAGGTCTGGGGTCTGGGGACACTAGTCGCGGCTGTGCGATTGTCGCCGGCGACCCACGTGACAGACACAATGATGGGGCACTATTCCTCCCACGGACACCAATGATGGGGCACTATTCCTCCCATTGATATCAATGATGGGGCACTATTTCTCCCATTGATATTAATGATGGGGCACTATTTCTCCCCCATTGATAGCAATGATGGGGCACTATTTCTCCATTGATAGCAATGATGGGGCACTATTTCTCCCATTGATAGCAATGATGGGGCACTATTTCTCCCATTGATAGCAATGATGGGGCACTATTTCTCCCATTGATAGCAATGATGGGGCACTATTTCTCCCATTGATAGCAATGGTGGGGCACTATTTCTCCCATTGATAGCAATGATGGGGCACTATTCTCCCATTGATAGCAATGATGGGGCACTATTTCTCCCATTGATAGCAATGATGGGGCACTATTTCTCCCATTGATAGCAATGATGGGGCACTATTCCTCCCATTGATAGCAATGATGGGGCACTATTCCTCCCATTGATAGCAATGATGGGCACTATTCCTCCCATTGATAGCAATGATGGGGCACTATTCCTCCCATTGATAGCAATGATGGGGCAGTATTACTCCTATTGATATTAATGATGAGGCACTATTACTCCTATTAATATCAATGAAGAGGCTCTAATCCTCCCATTGATACCAATGATGGGGGACTATTACTCTGATTCATATTAATGATGGGGCACTATTACTCCTATTAATATCAATGATGGGGCACTATTACTCCTATTAATATCAATGATGGGGCACTATTCTTCCCATTGATATCAATGATGGGGCACTATTACTCCCATTCATATTAATGATGGGGCACTATTACTCCTATTAATATCAATGATGGGGCACTATTACTCCTATTAATATCAATGATGGGGCACTATTACTCCTATTAATATCAATGGTGGGGCACTATTACTCCTATTAATATTAATGATGGGGCACCATTTCTCCCATTGACACCAATGATGGGGCACCATTACTCCATGCCAAAGAGAGGACATTGTTTACTCCCAGTGCTGTCAGGACATTTTCTACGCCCGCTGGCCACATTCTGGGCCCCCCTAAAGTTTGAAGGGCAGTAACCAGGCCCTTTGTTTATAAAGTTTGAAGACCTCAGATCTAAAGCAACAACGTTTATTTTTTTTCAAAAGGTTTACTATTGGTTTTGGATAAACTGTGGAAAGGTTGTTTGCCTTAGGCCTCATTCCCACTTGGAAATGGGGCCATTTGCAATTATCCATGTGAGACTCAGCAGGAGTTCCTACAATTAGCTACCAGCAAAAAGCCCTATTGAAAGCAATGGGAGCCTGACAGTGGCTGTTTGCATGTAATCACTCATGAAGCTGATGATCTGCCCTGGACACAGACTGCTTGCGCCCAGGGCTGATCATCTGCAAGAAATCCTTGCTTGAGCGAATGCCTGTGAACAGCTGCAAATAGTAGACTCCTATTGCTTTTAACTGGGCTTCTTGCTCACAGCTAATTGCAGAGAACCCAGCTGAGTCTCCCACGGGAAATCACAAAATGGCCTCATTGACAAATATGAATGGTCCATTTATGAGTGTCACAGGGACTGAAAGTGAAAGAAAATCCAAAATATTTAATTGTTACTGGAACTTGAATGGAGAGGAAAACCTCAAGTTCTATTAACCATCTGAAATCTTATCTTTAATGATTTTAGGGATTGCAGAGCACAGCTAGAGCCAGTCTGCACAAGTGCCCCCATAGCAGCCTGCTTGCTATGATGGGCACTCACTGGTGGGGAGCAGCCAGGAGCGGCAATGGAGGACCCCAGAAAAGGAGGATTGGGGCTGCTCTGCACAAAACCATTACATAGAGAAGATAAGTATATCATGTTTGTTATTTGAAAAATAAATAAATAAATAAATATATATATGGGTTTACAATCACTTTAACTATTTGCCTACCAGGCCAATTCTCCCATACATGTAAGAGCTATATTTTTTTTTTTTTTTACTAGAAAACGACTCAGAGCCCCCAATATATGTTTTTTTTAGCAGAGGCCCTATAAAATAAAATGATGGGCGATTTTTTTTTTTTATGTCACATGGTATTTGCGCAGTGGTTTTTCAATTAATGAATTTTATTGCAAACACTCACAATACAATTCACAATTTTTGGTAAAAGATGATGTTACACCGAGTAAATAGATACCAAACTTGTCACGCTTTAAAATGGAGTACGCCCGTGAAACAGCGGGAAACTACGGTACTTAAAAAATATCCATAGGCGATGCTTTAAACACATTTAGAGGTTATCAATTAAGAGTTACACAGGAGGTCTGGTGATAGAATTATTGCTTTTGCTCTGACATTTGCGATGATACCTCACAAGTGTGGTACGATCACGGTTTACATATGTGTGCGGGACTTGCATATGCATTTGCACTTGTGCATAAGAACGGGGGGGGGGGGGGGCACTTTACTTTTTTTTGTATTAATTATTTTATTTAAAACTTTTTTTACACTTTATTTGTATCTTTTTTGTAACTGCTAAACTTGCTAAAACAAGGGAGGATAACATCCCTTGCGACAACTTGGGCCATGACAGGCCCTCTTTATGGAGAGATTAGACCCCAAATCTCTCCTCTGGCCTCCACTGCAGCCGATCAGACACATTGGTCTGATCAGATGCTTTTCTAGCCAGGTAAACAAACAGCCAAAAGCGGAAGTGACTAAATCTTCATCGCTTCCGGTTTCTGGGGCCACAACGTCAATTCCTCTCTCTCTCTGTGCCTATTGGTCTATGTCTGTAATGGATGGTTTCACAAACTAAATATAGAATATAGGAGTAGAGAAGTCACACACCAGAGACAATTGATGGCAGTCTTATCTGTCTATAATGCCCGCACATAATTAAAACTGAAGAGCAGGCACCCAGGATGTGTTTTTTATACAAATATTACAATAAATGATTTTGTCAATAGATTTTAAGCATTAAACATTTAGGGTTACCATTTAAGCAAAGCAAAAAAAAAAAAAACAAAAAAAAAAAAAAAAAACAACTTACCAGCCATACTACCAGCAAGTCCAGCATAATATTCCAGTGTCTGCCATGAAATCTCTATATCCACTCTAGCCTCAAAGATAGATTTCCCATTGTTTATGGTTTCCATGGTAGCAAGCGCCTCACTACGTTCCTATAATAAAAGCCAACAGCAGAATGTTATTAAACTTTTACGATCAAATCTAAACTTGACTATGCAGACGGGCCAATTCACACCAGTGCGTTGATCTACGTTTTAGTGTAGCTGTAAAATGCACGTCAACTGAAGGACTTCTGAAAAACAAATCATTGCCAATTCCAATGTGTCCTATTCACACCAAAACACTGCATTGACCTGTGTTGTGCTAAAATGCAACACGTATGTATTTATTGCGACGAAACAGATGTAAACGGAAGCAAGCGATAAGTGGATGTCAACACAATGCATAGGATAGCCTGTAAAAATACAGTACGCTTTAATGCATGCTAAAATGCATGTCAATGGACGTCAAAAATGTAAGTCAATGGCTGTCAGCACGTGACTAAAATGGGATGGAAATGTGCATCCATTTTCTATACATTTTAGCGCAAGTTAGTGTGAATTGGCCCTCAAATAATGTTTGATTCCACTCACAGGTCCAAACTGAATTTAATTCAAAGTTGGTACGTACAAAGATGGAAATGTATACATCTTTTGTTTTACCATTCAGACAGGGATATCAACTATTTCTATTGCACACATCTGAAAAATATGCAGCCATTTTAAAAAAGTAAGAAAAATTATGGTGGCTTGCAAATTAAAATTGGGGAAAGAGGGAAACAAAAGGTTTTAATAATGGCAGATTTTGGTTTTAATTCTCTATTCTGTATTACATATTACAAAAAAACACAGCTGAAGTCCACTTATCACAGATAAAATCCCAACTTTCCATCATTTTCATAAAGTCACAAAAATGCTGTTTTGGACCCCTTTGATAGCAAACTGTTTAGTTTTTGAGGAGTGAGGCAAGGTTTGCTCATCAGACAGGTCTTTACAGCTGTTTTTGATCAAGAAGGGGGCCCTCTCAAAACAGGCAGACTTCAACTGTAAGCTAAGCTTCCTTAAATATACAGTATGTGAACCCTTACCTTGTAAAATAACGCATTCAGTTTTAAAATAGAAATGAAAGGCAAAACATATGCATATATAAAACAATTCTACATATCTTTTTTTCTTTTTTTAAAAGTGATCTCATAACCTCTGTTTTAGCTGCATAAGGGGCAAGCTATAGGTGGAGAAATGGCAATACACTAATCTTCCCAGTGATGTGCAGGGGGGGGCATGTCAGCACAAGTCTGATTACTGTAGGACAGGCAGGCTGTGCTCCCAGCCAGAAAACTGCTGGAATGAATGTACTCTCATGACTAGCATAGTCAGTCAGAGGGACTGGCAGGAACACCAGGTATTTCACAAAAAGGAAGCAATGCAAGGAGAACAGGATACCTTTTAAAATACACGTTACAACACATAGCAAGAATATGAAATGTTGGAGTAACATTCCCTAATGCGCTCTGTACAGTGCATTCTTCATGTACTGTATCTATCCAGTTAGTAATCCACTGCTTAGAGGTTACTTCACCATGCAGAATATTCAGCAAGAATTTACAATTCAAACAGGGGAATCAATTGTTCGAGTCTGGAGACAAAATATTGGATTTTTCCTACATATTCACCTGTAAAATCCATTTCTTGGAGTACATCACGGGACACAGAGCAGGCTCATGACTATATGGGTTATAGGCCACCTATAGGTGAATGGACACTGGCTGACCAATCAGAGAGGAAGTCCTCCTCTATATAACCCCTCCTATACAGGATGTACCTCCGTTTTTATAGCAAGCAATGACATTCCAGAAAGAGGAGCATCCCGAGATGTACTCCAAGAAATGGACTTTACAGGTAAGCATGTAGAAAAAAAATCCAATTTTCTTTAAAGTACATCACAGGACACAGAGCAGGCTATTTGTAGCTATGTGGAATGTCCCAAAGCAATAAGAAATTTGAGGGGAGGGTGACACCATAATAGCCACCATCAATAATCACCCAGGACCTACTCAGCCATCCGTAAAATACTGCAGCCAAAGGCAGAATCCTCTGCGGCTCTGACATCCACCTGGTAGAATCTTGTGAATGTGTGAACTGAAGACCATGTAGCGGCCTTGCAAACCTGAGCCATTGACGCCTGATGGCGGATTGCCCAAGATGCCCCCACACTCCTGGTGGAGTGTGCCTTCACCCGAAAGGGTGGGACTTTACCTCTTCCAGAACGGCCCCCCAACCTGAAAGGCTTGCATCAGTGGTTACCAACTTCCACACCACTGGCTGAAAGGATCTTCCCTTCTCCAAATTGTGAGTTATCAATCACCAATTCGGGCTTTGCTGCACCTCTGGAGACAGAGATATGTAGTAATCCAGGGCTGGAATCTTTTTGTTCCAAACAGACAGAATGTACCTTTGCAGCGGTCTGGAGTGGAACTGATCATAGGAAACAGCTTCAAACGAGGACACCATCTTCCCCAGCAACCTCATACAGAGGTGAATTGAAGGATACCTCTTAGCCTTCAAACTGCAAACCTCGTTCCTCAGGGTGCAACATTTCCCTGGAGGCAGAAATACCTTTACCTGAACCGTGTCTAGGATCATCCCCAAATACTCCAGGCTCTGCACTGGTTCGAGGGCCAACTTCTTGAGGTTGAGCACCCAGCCCAGCTGTTCCAGGATCTGCATCATAAGGACCACATCCTGCTTCAGATCTGGCACCGACTCATTTCTGAGCAAGAGATAGTCTAGATAACCTGTGACTGATACTCCCCGAAATCTGAGTAGCCCCAACACCGGAGCAAGAAGCTTTGTGAAAACTCTGGGAGTCATAGCCAGCCCAAACGGTAGTGCTATGAACTGGAAATAAGGAGCCACTACTGCAAACTGCAGAAATCTCTGGTGAGGAATAAATATTGGTACTTGCAGGTATGCATCCCTGATGCTAAAAAATCTCTCTCCTCTAGAAGGCCACTACTGACTAAACAAATTCCATACAAAAGGATTGGACCTTTAGGAACTGATTTAGCCCCTTGAGGTCCAAAATGAGTCTTACATACCCATTTGGTTTTGGGACTGTAAAAACGTTTGAATAAAACCCCTGAAACCCTTCGCCTGCTGGAACCTCCATGATTATTCCTTGAGCCAATGGGCAATCAAATGCCTGAAATAAAGCTCTTCTTTTCTCTGGATTTGTTGGTGCATTTGATCTTAGAAACCAAGGAGAGGGAAATACCCGAAATTCAAGTCTATACCCTAGAGAAATTGTGGAAATGACCCATTTGTCTTGGATTAGAGCCCTCCATGCAACCACAAAATTCAAAAGCCTCCCCCCCACTTGAACAAGTGGGGGCGCTCCTTCATAAGGAGGCGGACTTTCGATCTGTCTTAGATGACTTTTGCACCCAGGCAGTGGTGTATTTAGGTTTTGTGCTGCCCTAGGCAACACAAAAATTGGCACACCCCCCCACAGAAAGATCCTGACATTGACACAAGAGCACCCCTGCCCTCCACCCGAGCCTTCCACTACCACTGCCCCCCCATACACCAGCCACCATCCCCCATGGTGAGAAAGACACTCACCTTCACAGCTCCGGACATCCCCAGGAACGAAAGTCGGGCTGTGCATACACTGTCATGAAACCCACAGCATCTCTCAGAACCCACCAGGTCCCCATGCTGCGTGTGTCCCTTCTTCCAAGGGGCAGTGCTGCCCCCCCTGAAAAATGCCGCCATAGGCAAATGCCTTGTTTGCCTTGTGGTAAATACACCCCTGCACCCAGGGTCTGCTTGGGTTTTGATTCTGAGATCTACCCCTGGAGGCTGGGACCTGAGTGTGGCGAAACGACTGCCTGGTAGATGAGAGCCCAGCAATCAACACCCCTGACACCTTAAAAAAAGGGCGTTTGGATTTCATCTTAAAGAGTAGAAGTTTACTTTTACCCCCTGAAATCTTTTAGCTATATTTGTCAAAATCTTCCCAAAACAGTCATTCCCCATGAAAAGGAAAACCTGCCAACAATTTTTTGCATGGCAGTTCTGCTGACCAACTCTTCAACCACAAAACCCTGTGCATGTGCACTAATAAAAGGGCCAAGCGAGAAAATTTGCTGAATTGAATCCTTAAGAGCATCAATCGTGAAACACATAGCACGCGGAACATCCTCCAAATCCTTAGCAGAGCATTCCCCCTGCACTGATGGTGTTCTAATCTGTTTGCTTGACACGGTCAGAAAGACTCTGGCAAATGACAATAGCTGCCAAAGCTGGCTATGCAGCTGAACCTGCCAGGGAGAGGGAGGACTTAAGGAGAGACTCCAGCTTCTTATCTGCTGGGTCCTTGAAAACCCATACATTATCCACAGGACACATTAAAGATTTATTCATGGATGAAACAGCTGCATCCACTACAGGCAAACCCATTTCTTAAACTATTGTTCCATGGGGTACAAAACAGAAAACCTCTTTGGTTTAACAAAAACCCTGTCTGGGTGATCTCAGTCAGCATACATAATTTGCTCCAGAAGAGGATGAACCGGAAAGGCCTGAGCACTCTGTGAAGGCTTCAAAGAGCCCAGGGAAGAATAAGTAACCTCAGAGGTTTCTATCGGAGGTAGCCTGAATCCAGACCGTACCATATCAGTGAGGTCTTGGACTAAAAAGCTCTGAGACTGGGAGGCATGAGACCTCCTGCTTCTCCTCAGGCTGTGACTCCTCAGACAGATAATCTACTGCCTGACCTTCCTCCAGCTCTTCCTCTTCCTCACCCATTCTTGCTCCAGGATTGGTGATTCTAATGACAAGGATTTATCTTAGTCCCCTAAGAAACTGATGCAATCATCCCGGTGATCCTATCTTCTAAACCCGCTAGGAATGAAGCAAGATCATCTTTGGTTACATTTACTGAGGCAGAAGCCCCAGTAGCAACCACAATGCCAGATAACGTAGCGGCTCAGACTGCCCAGTTAAGTCTGGCCTGTGTCAGGAGGGGATATTACAGCGGACCTTCGGCTAGGTTCCTCTGGACCTGGCGGTAATATATTAGTGCCCTTTCTTGCTGCACCCCCCACTCCACT